GTTGCTTTAGCAAACATGTTTCTCTGTCTGGAGGGCATTATTATTCCTGCTAATACGAAGGTATGAAAGCCAACACGACAGTGGCCTGTGTGCAAAGGGACTGCAGCTAGACACAGTGCAGCTTGTGCAGCTCAGAGCTTCTGATGCTCGCACACACACATACACACAGGTACAGGCACAGGAGCCAATCACACACGCTCTTATCAGCTCTGCTCGCTGTGAGAGTTACCCTGCTGTACGATTAACTCCTGGAACTTGGGGTGTTTCCATAGTGATATGACATAACATTTTATTTCAGATAGTATTAGCAATAGCATCTTTTGCCACTCATGAGATGGAAAGGGATTTATATTTTATAACTTCACATGTAGATATTCTTTTATGTGGGTCTTTTGCTTTTATGTTTTAACTGTGTGAGGGCTTGGGGACATGTCGGGTGATGTTGGCCAATTTTTTGAGAGTTTGAGCGGTGTGTTCAGGTCATGGTTGAGAGGCTTGTATTTTTCTTCGTCATCCAGGGAGGGCTTGCTCCAGCTCCATCCCCACAGTGGGTCTGGAAGGCAGTCCTTTGGGATGAGGCAAGTACTTCACGACCAAGTCCTTAAAATCTAGGCCAAGCTGAAGTTTCCCAGGACCAAGTATAAAGGTGGGTCATGGCTCAGCTGACCAGGTAGAGAACTGGGCACATTCGCCAACTAGAGACTTCAGGGGCAGCACAATGAGCCGCTCTCTGCAAGACTGGCAAGCTGACCCAAAGTAGAGCTCATATCCTGTCCGTTTTCCGTACTCGGCTGTTTTTATTTCGCTGACACAAGGCTCCTGTCCCCTTCTGTCTTGGCTCCAGATGGGAAGGAACGCCTCACACTCAGGACCCTGCAGGGCATCCTCCTGCTAAGGTACACAGTGCTGTGCGGTAGACGGGCAGGTCGCCCAGGGAAAACAAACTGATCAACAGTAAGCCCACCTGAGTGGTACACACCTGCTCCTCTCCGAGAGAACCCCTGGCAGAAAGGAAAGCCAGACCCAGGGGCCAGCCAGCCAGCCAGCGTTCTTGCTTACAGCTGCCTGGAGTCTTGGCCATTTCCATATGGCTTGACTCTGGTGTTCTCTTTGGGATCTGTGTTAAGAAAATCATCATACCATTCTCCCCTAAAGTCCCATAGAAGCATATGTCCATCTGTTGTTTACAGGAAGAGAGCACAATGGTGGGGAAGAGTTCCTCTCTGCGTTCACACAGTGATGTGCTAAGGTAACCGTAGCATTACCTTTCCCTGAATACAGGATTATACAGGCATTAAGAGACTCAAACATTTTATTTAGTTTTAAATATATAAAACTGTGGGGGTATGATCACAACTGTGTAAAACTAAAACTTTGAGAAACAAATACAGTATACAATGCATTTTAAGAATATTTGCATTGGTTGCAGTGGGTGGTAGGCACAGGTATTTCTTGATTATACCTCCCAATAATAAATGCTATGCATGCACTTAGCTTTTTAAATAAGAATTGGCAGTACTGATTACATCACAATTATCTGGTCATTGTTTCTCAGACCACTTCCAATACTGGGCTTTTTTCTTTCTCAGAACCAATCTTATAAATCACTTTTAAAGGATGTAAAGGCTAAAGCCATATTAAGCTGCATTTCTGGTGGACTCTACATTTGTTCAGCTTGCAGAGTCTGTTAAAAGACAGGTACCTGCCCTTCATCTGCCTTTCTAAATGTCTCTTACCCCTCTCTCCCTTTCTCCTCCTCTCCCTGTCGCCTTCCCATGCGTCCCTCTATCCATACCTTCCCCACCTCTCCCTTCTCTCCCTTCCCCGCTGCTGTCTCAGAGTTGTGTGACAGATGAAATACCTTCATCTGGAAGTATCTGGGCTGAGCTTTTTCTTCCTCAAAATGGAGACTCACTGTGATATGTGCACTCTGATTAAAATGGTGAACTCAGTCCTGCAGGCTAATGCTTACATGGTAAATGAGGAGAATGACTGCCTGGGGATATTATAAATAGTTATAGGTTGTAACAATATGATGCTAAAATAAGTTTTAAAAAAAACTCAAGCAGAAATGACAAAAAGCCATGTTGAAAGGATGGTAAACAAAGAGAAGGATGGGAGCTCAGCTGGTGAAGCCAATGCAGGTTGCCCCATGGCACTTAGCAGTGGAAGCAACACCGGAGTTTCTGGCTGTGCCACATACGTGTGCTGGAGAGGTAAATTAACCATACAAGGTAAATGCTGGGTGCATTAGATGTTCATTGAACCATTAGGTTGAACAGCAGAAACCCATAAATGCCCCACAGAGGTAGGGTTGAACTTCCAAATGGTGGCCAATCACTAAAACATCCTGTGAGACATTCATTAACATAACTGGACATTGAGAAATAAGATTGGTGGCAGTGAAGGGCAGATGGCATGAAGCCAACCACTACGAAGACTTGAAAAGGTAATAAGATGACCATGTTGAACTAGTAATGTTGTGCCTTTCTGTTTTATTCCCTTACTGCTGATACGTCATTTCGTCGATAGAGATAAAAATTCTGAGCAGTTATTTCATGCTGTTATTGGGTGTTGGGAAAAAAAAACTTCCAGCAAACTAATTTAATACACAGGATAAGTATTGTTATTTTAGATGCTTTTTTAAATTTCTAAAAATGGTACCTGTTAGTGACCAGAATGGGCAGCAGTTTTGCAAGCCCAGGCTTTCTGGTCCAGCATTGACCTTGATGAAAGCAATCGAGCTTCTTTCATTGAAGTTCAAAACAAAACCACCCAGAACCCCATTTTACAGAGCAAAAAACCACAAGCCACAGCTGACAGGCACTGCCAGGGGATGCTCCACCTCTTGTTTCCTATTGGTAAGTGGCATGAAGGTCTCACTTAATGGGGTGTCAAAGTGGAAACTGGTTGCCTTTTGGGCTTAAAGAAACTTAGGGAGAGAGAGAAACTGACTCACTTCTCTTGTTTGGGGTGGGTTTTCTGGCTTTGGGGCAGGGTCCATCAGAAGCCGTGCCCTAGGAGCCTAGGCCAGGTACAAACCCATTCAAAGGCACAGGAGAGAGAGGACTTACCAGGATGTCTGGGGTCTGAAGCTCAAGGTGCTGGATCAATGGCACAAACAGAAGTTAGCTGCCAAGTTTCTACCAAGCATCAGAAGGATGTTAGATCCTATGCTTGGGTAGGACGCCAACTAGATATTTCTTTATGAATAATTCGCTCATTGTGTAATTTTGCTGAATATATTGCTGTTGGTCTGTATGCCAGCCGTAATAGGGTGCGTGCAGCAGCAGAGCTGGCTCCCAATGCTGCCTCTCAGCAGCCTGGGGACCATGCATAGCTTCTGCTGTTACTGCCCCTCAGTTTCATCCCCTGAGCGTAAAATAGATGGGGCTGACTTGCCTAAAACATGAAGTGGCACAAAGTGAATGCTCAATAAACAGTGTGGCTCAGATCATGACTACACAAAATATACACGACACGGACACATGTATGCAAATAAGTGTATACATCTCTGTGTGCAGAGAGACAAACGTATCATTCACAGATGGTAGAAACAGCCTTGACTGTAGAAAAGCTAAAATAGCAGTTATACAACTCACTTGTTTGCAGGTCCAGAATTAGCGAAATGGCCCACAAGGGACTGGCAGACAGAGTGAGCTCCAGGGAAACGTGCGACAGGCAGCCTGGCTGTTGCTCTGGGGATTCCATTCCTGCTCGGGTAGCCTGGAGAACTCCTGGTACAAAGCCGAGTGGCCCTTGGGCAGGGTGAGGACTCCTATAGACTAACACTATAACTTACGGCAGCGACTGCGGCGCCCGTGTGTGGTTATCCTAAACTTCGCAGAGTGGGGCTCTCACGCTGTTTGCTACGTGCGTGGGTGCATGCGGAACTGTTGTATAAGACTTGGAGAACTTCTTGACCTGGGGGAATCCTCATGTCCTCTTGCACAGAAACCTCGATAGAAACAAAAAGGGATGAACCAACAAACCTCCACCTACCCTCCTTTTCGGACAGACACACAGATTCTGATGACTCAGTGCTTGCTACAGGGGGGACCCCAGAACTGAACTGGAAACGTTAACAAATGAAAGGAAGTGATGGTTAATTTTCTTTTTTCTCTTTTTTTCCTGAACAGAAAATATGACGCTGGCATGTTAATCGCGTGAGACAACTTGGAACACAGACAGCCACAAAGCACAACAACAAAACCCAAACTCAGACAAGAAGCAAGAACGGTGTTTTCCTGGCGTCGACAAGAAGCGCTTTATTTTTTCCTCTAGATTTCCTTTTCTAGAAAAAACAAAAACAAATATTTGCAGAAACAATATGGATTTCAGGTGATCATAATAAACAAGCATGTTCTTTCATTAAGCATAGTGTGGGAGGAACTGGAAGTTTGCACGGGCGAACAGGGGGCACTGTGCCACCCAGCCAGCAGCAGGGGCCGCTTCCCACTGGGAATGAAGAATGAAGGGCATCACGTTAGCCCCCAGCCCAGGAGCCTCCTGTGTGCCACCCATGAAGGTGGCTCTGGAATGAATTGCACAAGTTAGTTGCTATAATCTCTAAAGAATTCTTGGTGGATAACTTTGGCAAGGGAGCTTCTGCCAGGCACCAGCTCTGCCCTGCTCGGTCTCTGCGTTGTTCCCCATGGATCAAGCTTTCCTATTCTTGTTGAGGCCATTATTTTCCTCAATTGAGGCAGCCTGAAAGGATGAAATCAAGCCTTGTCCAAAGAGGAGAAAGCAGGACCCAGGCTGCCGTAGTGACCATGGTGGTAGCTGGTTGGGACAAAGCAACCCCAGGACTACTGGAAGCAGCTAGAGAAATCTGCTTGTGTTTCTACAATGAAGGAAAGAACCAACACACCACCCGAGCTTGGCCTTTCAAGCTCAGCACCAGAAAGCAAAGGGACCCAAGGGACCCACGTGTGCCCCAGTTCGCAAGAGACATCAGCCCACCCCCCACTGCCTGCTTCCCGCAGTCCTTGGCATTTCTCACTCTTTGGGACTGCACCCCTTTTCCTTACGCTTGTGGGGCCACGTGAGAAAGCCATGGAAGTTTCCGCAGCACTAGATGGGAGAATCCACGCAGCCTGGAGTGGGCCTGGCCTTGCTCGGGCTCTTTCTTAACAGGCCTGGCTGCCCACTCTCTCCTGCACCAGCCTCTCGCTGAGCACCCACAGGGCCCGGGCTGTCTCCTCGCGCTGAGCTTCTGCTGAGGGCGTGCAGCGGCAGCAGTTGTTGAAGTACATCCCTCCCAGGCCCTCGAGTTCCGGGGCGGCAGCGCAGTAGACTGTGGTGGCGGCTCCCTGTTGCTGTCAAAGAAACACAAAAGGAGAAGTTGTGAGCAAAGGGGTGAGGAGACGTCGGGAACTGCCCAGCCCGTGCTTCCTGCTTCAGACACAGCCGGATCTCAGTGTGGCACAGGGTATGAAGCTCAGAGCACATGGTTGTAAAAGGAATGATGTGACCATCCTGGAAAAACGAGTTCATAAACTCCGCTCGTAAAGATGGTGTGACTTTTTACACCTCATATAGGAAAAGGCTTGGAAAATAAATACACATCTCAATAAATCACAGCAGGCTCCCCTTGGGCACAGAGAGAAAAAGATGGTGTTCTTTGGAACACTCGCGCACAGATGCATCCAACCCTTTGGCTTCTTGCAGTGGAGGATGTAATTTGACAGAGATTTGGTTCTTTGAACTGGACAGAAGGTTCTGAATCAGCCACTCTTAATTACGGCGCATCAGACAGAAAGGCCAAGGTGGTGGGTGCCAGGTCTTTCCTTTACTCAGTGCCCGAAGTGCTGCTACAGGAAGGGTTTGCGGCGCTGTGTTCACACACACACACACACACACACACACACACACACACACATCACCACCACCACCACACACATGCCTCCCACAGATGCAAGGCATATGTTTTGATTTGCCCAGAAAATTATTGAAGCAAACATCTGATTTGTCCCCAGTTTACAATGGGACAGTGGGTAAATGGGGCAGATTTCCTCCCAGCCCACTTCAAAATGCAAGTTGCCACAAGAGCCATTGATCACTTTCGATTCATCTTTTGAGTAACAGTCGAGGCTGTGGCGAAGGATGTGTCTGCTCGCGGGCCCCATATCATCTGGACTGACAGGATACAGTCAGGGATGCTGTAAAGAGGGCAAGGAGTCACTTTGCTTTGCAAGCCATAATTAAAAATAATAGGCTGCTCCTCGTAGGAGAGACACGGTAGGCATGGCTCTAATTTAAAACCAATACAGTGGATCTGGCATCTTATGGTTATTTATGTGCATCCCAGCCCTGACTGCATCAACTAATTATCAGCTGATCGGAGGGAGGGGGTGTCCAACAGGGACCCAAGGGAGGGAGCAGCAGGTACGGCTGCCGAGAAGGGAACAGTGGAAAGCCTGGTGGGGGAGAGGGGCCTGCGTCTCCACCCTTCACCGGTACCCCAGTAGAAGCCTCCCCAGTCAATGGCTTACCCTGTACTCATTTCGATGGCAGGGGAGAAGCTGGGGGACTCCAAGGCCATTCTGGGAACCAGCATCCCAAGGTTTTACAGCTTAAGGAAAAGTGCCATAAAATAAGGCTTGGGTTGGTTGGTTTGTTTTTGGCTTCAGTGTCAGGGTCTGTGGTCACATTTGAGTCCATCAAAAAACAAAATGATCCAACACAGCCAAGTGGCGGGAGGGGTGAGCAGTGAGGCAAGAGACTTGAGTCTTGGTCATAACTGGTTGCCAGCCTGAATCGGACAAGGCCTAGCAGTCCAGAATGTGAATAACTGACATCATATGTCAGACCAGAGGAAGCCAAAGTGTCTCTGGAAGCAGACTGGATAACGGAGATGGTTTTGCACACATTTGGGGGATACCTGGTGTAGATTTTGATTTCCCTGTGCAGCTGCCAACATCACCAACAAGTGGTCAGTCACCTAAGAGCACACAATGCCTTCTCTACTCCCAAATCACTGAGTTCAGCTGGCACTTGCCTCACTCTCCTCTCCTGCTGGACAATCAAATAGTGACAATATTAGGTTGGTCTTATGCCTATCACCTCTTTGGCTTCTCGGGAAATAACCTGCAGAGCCAGCACAGTGGCAAACTCGAGTGACATCCTTATATGATCAGATGTGTTTCACAACAAGCTCTCATTTTTGGCGCATCATCTGTATGTCTGCGTATCGGAGTAAGCCACATTAGGCACAGTCTCATTAGTAAACAAGCTGATACTGCTGGTACAGATAAAACATTTTCTAATTGGTAAAATTATTTTGAAAGAATACATTAATCACCATCAAATGACTTTCATGCCACTTCTTGGGCTATCATTAGTACCTACTCCAGGAAAAAAAAAGGCCAATCAAAATAATGCTAAAAAGTCCACTATCCAATATCCAAAACAGTGGCTTTCTAGTTGTCACCACTGCTTACTGATTTTTTGTGACAGAATAATAATGCTGAGGCGTAGACACGCTGGCCAGAACCAGTTTAGTTCCCCTGAACAGTTTTTGGGTAACAGTCTGTCCTAAGTGTGGAGGTTGTGTACACGGGGAATGGACAGCCTCACACGATGGCCATGGCAGTGAGCTAGGCTGTTCATGACACAGGACCAAGCATTTCCAGGGAGCCCCATAGAATCTTTGATCACGTTCCAATGCCACTTCCGATCCAAACATCTGTGAGCTGCTGCCAGAGCAGGACTGCGCCATCAATCACGACAGTCTATGTAAAATTACCTAGCATTCCTGCTTGGGATTAAGTTAGGACTATCTGGGTAATAGAGGCTCATCACTCTTTTTCAGAAAGCATTTGTCAGATTTGCAGTACAATCTTTAGCTACAGAAAGATGTATTTTGGAAAGCAGTTGATACACACACACACACACATACCCCTGAGATCTAAATTACCCATCCTTCCAGAACCCTTGATTGGTACAAAAACATCAAGTGGCCACTTTTCCTGAATGTTTATTTGATAACCACAAACCATCAGTTTGTAGCTGTCAGCATAGAATACAAATGGCTATTGACTCCTTGAAAGGAAAAAGAGTTTTCTGATAAAAATGTTAAAGGCCCCCCCATACACATACACTCACACAGACTCATAACGCATTGCTTAGTGATCCAGTACGATACATACGTTCTAGTAAGTAGTACCCATGTTAAACAATTACATTTTCAGTTTTCGGGTCTCTCTATTTTAAAATGCATGCTTAAAGAATAAATTCCTGTCCTAGAGTAGCTGTAACTATGAGATGTATTCAACAATAGACATAATGCCATAACATTTCTATATATTCGATGATCATGAATAGTCATTGTAAGATTGCTTTATTCCACACATATCAATACTAATGCAAATGTCTGATTAGTCAATTTATGCAAAAGGTGGAGCTGTGCAAGGGAGCACACCACAGAAGTCGGCTTAGCTTCTGAACCCACAGGGCCTGGGAGGTGAGCCACTGTTTCAGAGGCGGGCAGCGACTACAGAGCCCAATGCTGGGAGTGCACAGGGGTCTGCAGCAAGCAGCTTTGGCAGGAGGCAAGCCGGGGACCTCCTCAAACCTGGGAAGCTTTCACTGTTACCCATCTGGAGTCCTTCAGGCAGAGCAAACCCAACCACCGAACCCCGAGCTTCTGTGAGAATGCTGCTCGGAGAGAGATGATCTGTGCCAGGGCCACACAGGCGATGAGGGCCCATGTCGTCCTCTCCATCCTTGTCTGTGTCCCAGCGATCCTCCTGCATGAGAGCTCCTAGCCACTCCGCCTTTAACAGGGCGATGTGGGGTTCTGGAGTTCATCTCCATGTGATCTTGGTGCTAACGACACAGGGTTACAAAAATCAATTACATTTCTAACCTCTGATTTTAAAGCCACGCAAAAGTACCCTTTCTCCTCACCGGAACAACCCTTTCTGTGAACAAATCAGCCACACACTCCGTTAGTTCATGAAGGGAGATGCAGTTTGTATAAGACCTCCACAGTAAACATGCTCACGGCTAACAAGTCACCCTCTTCCTCCATACAATACTTGCTTAGTTCAACTAGGCTATGTTATTTGGAATAAAGTGTTGATCAGGAAGCATGGTTACTCTCACAGGAACCATGGGAGGTGGCAGACGGGAAGGGAAATGACTGCATGAAAGGGTTCTGTCCTCCAAAATGCCATGTTCTCCCAGGGTGCTGTAGGGGCACGGGGCTGAGACTAACATATATCAATGGGTTGCATTTTTATAAGCATTATAAATCCTCACTCCATTCTATGAGCCAGAGACAACAGATATCCTTATTTTCAAAGAAGCCCCCTTAGTGGTCCAAAGTGAGCTGGTCAAAGCCATACAGAGAATCCCACAGACAGCCACAGGCATGCCTACATGAAGCTTTCTCCCCGAATGTGTCACACAAATATTTGCACAGTACCCACTTCCACCCTACAGGTCTCCCATTTGGCTCTAGCCGTGTCTGGCCAGAGTGACACCCTGACGTGGCCTATAATTAAATGCGCCAGCTCTCAGGAGTTCCACTGGGAACTGTTAAAACGAGATTTCCCCATTGTTGATTTAGTCAGTGAGCTAAATTGAAATTATATCCATTTGGATTAACAGAGATGAAGACTCAGCACCACCTCGAATGATCCCACAGCAAATGACCCTTGAGAAAAAAGGCTGCCTCATTCAGAAGTGTTCCCTCCAGGTGCCAGAGGTGCCCAGCTAGGGCACCTGTCCTCTGACGATACTCTTTTCAGAGCTTGGACATTCAAAACCAGTGATAGCTAGGCACTTTCCCACCTCACAAATTCCCATCCATGGGAACCCACACGGCCTCTGTGGGAATACGCTCTGCTTGCACCACTGGGTCTGTGGTGAGACTCTCACCCAATTAAATCCTAACAAAGTAACCTCCACAGATTCCTTGCTGTCCATTCCTACAATGACCTTGACCAACACAGGCTTAGCTACGTGCAAATACTTCCTGTGGGTAATGCAAGACAACAACCTAAGCCAAACACTGGCTGTTTCGAGCATTTATTACCGAAGAGGAAATGCACTCAATTTCTCAAGCAGAAAGGGTGAAGTTGATCAGGAAAGTCAGGCTCTGTTACCGGGACTGAAAATGTGAAGGAGTGTTTTTCAGAATCCACAGCAATAGCGTTCCGTGTCTAGCCTCTGCAGAAGAGAACACCCGCTCTGACACAACGGACACGGACGGTGCCATCAGGCTGGTTAACTTCGCCACAAACAGCCTCTTTGCTAAAACACGTTTGTAAGTGTGCGTGACCGCAGGTTGCCTTTTCGGTTAATTTTCCTG